TACTGTCCTTTGTCATGTTTAACTTACTGTCCTTTGTCATGTTTATCTTACTGTCCTTTGTCATGTTTATCTTACTGTCCTTTGTCATGTTTAACTGACTGTCCTTTGTCATGTTGATATTACTGTCCTTTGTCATGTTGATATAACTGTCCTTTGTCATGTTGATGTTACTGTCCTTTGTCATGTTTATCTTACTGTCCTTTGTCATGTTGATATTACTGTCCTTTGTCATGTTTATCTTCCTGCCTTTGTCATGTTGATGTTACTTTCCTTTGTCATGTTTAACTTACTGTCCTTTGTCATGTTTATCTTACTGTCCATTGTCATGTTGATGTTACTCTCCTTTGTCATGTTTATCTTACTGTCCTTTGTCATGTTGATGTTACTGTCTATTGTCATGTTTATCTTACTGTCCTTTGTCATGTTTATCTTACTGTCCTTTGTCATGTTTATCTTACTGTCCATTGTCATGTTGATGTTATTGTCCTTTGTCATGTTTATCTTACTGTCTATTGTCATGTTTATCTTACTGTCCATTGTTATGTTTATCTTACTGTCCATTGTCATGTTTATCTTACTGTCCTTTTCATGTTTATCTTACTGTCCTTTTCATGTTGATGTTGCTGTCCTTTGTCATGTTTATCTTACTGTCCTTTTTCATGTTGATGTTACTGTCCTTTGTCGTGTTTATTTTACTGTCCTTTGTCATGTTTATCTTACTGTCCATTGTTATGTTTATCTTACTGTCCATTGTCATGTTTATCTTACTGTCCTTTGTCATGTTGATATTACTGTCCTTTGTCATGTTTATCTTACTGTCCATTGTCATGTTTATCTTACTGTCCTTTGTCATGTTTATCTTACTGTCCTTTGTCATGTTGATGTGTTTATCTTACTGTCCTTTGTCATGTTGATGTTGCTGTCCTTTGTCATGTTCATCTTACTGTCCTTTGTCATGTTTATCTTACTGTCCTTTGTCATGTTTATCTTACTGTCCTTTGTTATGTTTATCTTACTGTCCTTTGTCATGTTGATGTCACTGTCCTTTGTCATGTTTAACTTACTGTCCTTTGTCATGTTGATGTTACTGTACTTTGTCATGTTTAACTTACTGTCCTTTGTCATGTTGATGTTACTGTCCTTTGTCATGTTTAACTTACTGTCCTTTGTCATGTTGATGTTACTGTCCTTTGTCATGTTTATCTTACTGTCCTTTGTCATGTTTAACTGACTGTCCTTTGTCATGTTGATATTACTGTCCTTTGTCATGTTGATATAACTGTCCTTTGTCATGTTGATGTTACTGTCCTTTGTCATGTTTATCTTACTGTCCTTTGTCATGTTGATATTACTGTCCTTTGTCATGTTTATCTTACTGTCCTTTGTCATGTTTATCTTACTGTCCTTTGTCATGTTGATGTTACTGTCCTTTGTCATGTTGATGTTACTGTCCTTTGTCATGTTTATCTTACTGTCCTTTGTCATGTTGATATTACTGTCCTTTGTCATGTTTATCTTCCTGTCTTTTGTCATGTTTATCTTACTGTCAATTGTCATGTTTATCTTACTGTCCTTTGTCATGTTGATATAACTGTCCTTTGTCATGTTGATGTTACTGTCCTTTGTCATGTTTATCTTACTGTCCTTTGTCATGTTGATATTACTGTCCTTTGTCATGTTTATCTTCCTGCCTTTGTCATGTTGATGTTACTTTCCTTTGTCATGTTTAACTTACTGTCCTTTGTCATGTTTATCTTACTGTCCATTGTCATGTTGATGTTACTCTCCTTTGTCATGTTTATCTTACTGTCCTTTGTCATGTTGATGTTACTGTCTATTGTCATGTTTATCTTACTGTCCTTTGTCATGTTGATGTTACTGTCCTTTGTCATGTTTATCTTACTGTCCATTGTCATGTTGATGTTACTGTCCTTTGTCATGTTTATCTTACTGTCTATTGTCATGTTTATCTTACTGTCCATTGTTATGTTTATCTTACTGTCCATTGTCATGTTTATCTTACTGTCCTTTTCATGTTTATCTTACTGTCCTTTTCATGTTGATGTTGCTGTCCTTTGTCATGTTTATCTTACTGTCCTTTTTCATGTTGATGTTACTGTCCTTTGTCGTGTTTATTTTACTGTCCTTTGTCATGTTTATCTTACTGTCCATTGTTATGTTTATCTTACTGTCCATTGTCATGTTTATCTTACTGTCCTTTGTCATGTTGATATTACTGTCCTTTGTCATGTTTATCTTACTGTCCATTGTCATGTTTATCTTACTGTCCTTTGTCATGTTTATCTTACTGTCCTTTGTCATGTTGATGTGTTTATCTTACTGTCCTTTGTCATGTTGATGTTGCTGTCCTTTGTCATGTTCATCTTACTGTCCTTTGTCATGTTTATCTTACTGTCCTTTGTCATGTTTATCTTACTGTCCTTTGTTATGTTTATCTTACTGTCCTTTGTCATGTTGATGTCACTGTCCTTTGTCATGTTTAACTTACTGTCCTTTGTCATGTTGATGTTACTGTACTTTGTCATGTTTAACTTACTGTCCTTTGTCATGTTGATGTTACTGTCCTTTGTCATGTTTAACTTACTGTCCTTTGTCATGTTGATGTTACTGTCCTTTGTCATGTTTATCTTACTGTCCTTTGTCATGTTTAACTGACTGTCCTTTGTCATGTTGATATTACTGTCCTTTGTCATGTTGATATAACTGTCCTTTGTCATGTTGATGTTACTGTCCTTTGTCATGTTTATCTTACTGTCCTTTGTCATGTTGATATTACTGTCCTTTGTCATGTTTATCTTCCTGCCTTTGTCATGTTGATGTTACTTTCCTTTGTCATGTTTAACTTACTGTCCTTTGTCATGTTTAACTTACTGTCCTTTGTCATGTTTATCTTACTGTCCTTTGTCATGTTGATATTACTGTCCTTTGTCATGTTGATATTACTGTCCTTTTTCATGTTTATCTTACTGTCCTTTGTAATGTTGATATTACTGTCCTTTGTCATGTTTATCTTACTGTCCTTTGTCATGTTGATATTACTGTCCTTTGTCATGTTGATATTACTGTCCTTTGTCATGTTTATCTTCCTGTCCTTTGTCATGTTTATCTTACTGTCCTTTGTCATGTTTATCTTACTGTCCTTTGTCATGTTGATGTCACTGTCCTTTGTCATGTTTAACTTACTGTCCTTTGTCATGTTGATGTTACTGTACTTTGTCATGTTTAACTTACTGTCCTTTGTCATGTTGATGTTACTGTCCTTTGTCATGTTTAACTTACTGTCCTTTGTCATGTTTATCTTACTGTCCTTTGTCATGTTTATCTTACTGTCCTTTGTCATGTTTAACTGACTGTCCTTTGTCATGTTGATATTACTGTCCTTTGTCATGTTGATATAACTGTCCTTTGTCATGTTGATGTTACTGTCCTTTGTCATGTTTATCTTACTGTCCTTTGTCATGTTGATATTACTGTCCTTTGTCATGTTTATCTTCCTGCCTTTGTCATGTTGATGTTACTTTCCTTTGTCATGTTTAACTTACTGTCCTTTGTCATGTTTAACTTACTGTCCTTTGTCATGTTTATCTTACTGTCCTTTGTCATGTTGATATTACTGTCCTTTGTCATGTTTATCTTACTGTCCTTTGTCATGTTGATATTACTGTCCTTTGTCATGTTGATGCTACTGTCCTTTGTCATGTTGACATACTGTCCTTTGTCATGTTGATCTTACTGTCCTTTGTCATGTTGATGTTGCTGTCCTTTGTCATGTTTATCTTACTGTCCTTTGTCATGTTTATCTTACTGTCCTTTGTCACGTTGATGTTACTGTCCTTTGTCATTTCGATGTTACTGTCCTTTGTCATGTTTATCTTACTGTCCTTTGTCATGTTTATCATATATTTGTATTACTTGTACTAACATTACTTTGTAAATTTCGCCCAGCGGTGAAAGACTTTCGAGTTATCTCCCATGGAGCCACTAAACAAGAATATGTGAAGTATTTTTTTTCTGTAATGATAAAGTTATACGTTTTCAATTGATACTATTAAGTAAATATTTTTTTATTTTAGAACTGCGTCCTTCCCAAAATTGAATGTAGGTTCTCCATGTATCGGTGTCAGGTAGCTTTATGAGCAAACATATTGGCACTCCAAAACGTGATCAACTAAATATGTGGTCGGTTGGCACACTGGGAACACACTCTCCTTTCACCTACCCGTTCAATTTCCTGGAACGGCGTGAAAAGATGGGGGTCACCTGTCCGACCACGTGGGTTTTCCACAGGTACTCCGGTTTCCTCCGACAGTATGATTCTTCGCCCGCTTACATCCGGGCCATCAAGAATGATTAGTATAAGTTGATGTAAGTTAACAATTGTAAGTAAATAAATTCTGTATTTTTGTAAATGTGATACCGTAAATCATATCATCGGCACTTTCTGAATGTACAAAATATCAGCAAATCACATTTTTTCGTGAAACACTGGTTTAGATATTACCCCACTGGGGCTTCTCATCGGAGCGAGAAGTAAAACAAAACAAAAGAAAACGAAACGAAACCGAAATTAAACGAAACAGCAGCAGTAGTAAAAACAATAACAGCAACAGCAAACGTTATATCATGTGATGCCATAAGCAATCAATATATATATATATGTATACATTGTATCGTAGAAATTTCATCTGGACGAAAATAACATGTTGTTTGGGTACCTGAGCGTTAATATCAAGGTTATGGTATTTACGGACCCCATCCAGAAACACTACTTTGAAAAGAAATGTGACCACTGAATCTCTGGCACTCAAGAGATTGATTGCTATAAGACTTTTTAACTTCTTGTTTGTTCAGCAATTTGAATTCCTTTACGTTGCTATTAGTAATTGAAATATGTAAATGTTTTCATAACTCTGTTTCTAAAAATGTTCTAAGCGTGAGATTTGAACTAACGTTTAAATGTTTTTGTTATTTCTTTACAGATAATGCCAGTCTGCACACGAACTACAGTGTAACAACAATACAGAGAAATGCCATAATGTTTGGAAACTGTTCCTCTTTAAATATAACGGATTGTAGTAACTCTACTTCCGGTGTTTTATATGACGTCATAGATTTTGACGCGTTTGCATACATATTTGTTGTGCTTTCGTTCTATGCCGTTAGCATGGTGTTGCTGATGATAAAGTACATCCGACGAGAGGAAGAAGAGGTGTGTCTAAGCTATTACTACACAGAATTCGTAAAGAGAGAAAAGTTTCAAAATCCTATATTCAAAAACAGAGTAGCACTTCAAAATGCTACAAGCTCTGGTTTGATTGATAAAGCCCTACAAATGTTACAGTCAAGGGACGGATCTGGGATATATCACTGCAACTCGGAAGACAAGTGCGAGAGAAAATCTTCATTGCCAGGGGAAACATCACAGCTCTCCAGTTCCGTGTCCTGTGACCTACCTGTAGATTCTAACTCGAGTCTTCATTCAGGGGTCAGAGTTGAAAATTCCGAGGATGATGACGACATTATGTGCGAACATTGTCCCGACGATAATATATTAGAAACTATTGTGTGATATAAACAAGCAAGCCCGGAAAAAGGTTGTCACGCGTGAGCGCATCTCGTCTCAGCTATTCTCGCAAATCACTTTTCTATTTGTCGTGTGATTTTTCTTTTTCTGTCTTTCGTATATTTTTATACCTACTCGTTATTCTTTATCAGTAAAACTGAATTTGAAGCAAGCTTATCAAAGCGGCCTTTAATTCATACTATAAACATGAGTCTTTTTATTTATGTTTTCAATATATCTCTGCAGTTGTTTACTGTAAAATTTGTTTGAATTTCGAATGTATCGGGAGTTCAAAACAGTTAATCAATTTCACAACTATGATCACTAAAAATGGTCGTTGGTGCAAATGAATCCAATGTTCAGCAAGACAGAAACTAAGAATCAGAAAATAAATACCTCAATATTTATTAACACGGCAGTTCCCCTTTATTGATAAAACTTGAGAAAATGCTTCATTTCTTCCACCAAAAAGCTGAGTATCGTTAGTCAGGCACTGTCCAAGCTATAACGTCAGAAAGTGGTACATTTGGTATAAGACAGGTTTGTGAAACAAACATCCAAATGACAGCGAGGGAAGGGAGGGTGGAGGTGGGGATATAACTCTATTTCGTGTAACGTACATGGTTGCCTACTGCTGCATTTGCCGACCATTATTTAGTGATTAGCAAATTATATTCTCTTATTCTTCCAATTATCACAGGTCAAACAGGTACTCAGGCTGGGAGTATAACAAAAAATATCTACGAGCCATATACCTTGTACAAAGTTGTATATTGTTACCCAACACTTTATGTAAATGTGAATTAAGAATATCCGTCTGTTTGCCAAGGGAAAATGCTTAAAACAATCGTTACAAGCCAGTCAACACTCAAAACCATTGACCGACAGAGAACAATTATGATGAAGCGTCTTGATGACCGCGATTGTCGATTCTCGACATGTCTTGTATGTCATCTGTAAGCTAGGATGTATTTCCAATTACTAATACGTAAAGTATGTCTTCTAACTCTTAGTTTTAAATGCCACTTTCACTCCGATATGTTGAATATTAGATACTAAGTACTTACTTACTGGTCACACTTAACATTCTGCGAAAAAATGGTCTGTGTTCGATTCACAAGAGACATGTGTAATTGGAAGTATAGCAAGAACTGTGATGGCTTAAAACTCAGCAGAACAAGCTTTATTTGTTTGATGTAAGTATTACGTCAGATCGCTCTGTTTAAAAAACCCAACAAATAAGGCGGTGATATGGAGAGCGAAAATACAGCTGTATGTAAAAAGCGCTGTTGATTAACATAATCATAATGTTAATCGAACGACACGGAAAGTGAGTATGGAAGTTAAGCGCAGTCGATATTTATTTGTGTCGTGCCGCCGCGCTCCAGTGCGCTGTTGATCGCGCTATTTTTGTAACGTTACCTTGGTGTGTTGAACATCCTCTCATTTTATCACTGAGTGTTGTATTTAACACTAATTCCTTGGGAGAGAGCTAAAGTTGGACCCATCTACAATAAGGGTAACAAGCAGAAGTACAGCAACTGTAGATCCGTAAGTGTGAGGTCCGGAGAAACTGCTACAAAGAATTATACGGAATAGAGTCCCGGACCATATGACCAGGAATTATCTCTTTTCCATGCAATGTGGATTTAGCAGCAGAACATCATAGGGTTCACAAATATAGAGCACAGGACGGAATCACTGGAAAGAGTTGATCAAGTAGACAGTTTACCTTGACTTCAGGGAAGTCATAGTTCCTCACCAGAGATTACTGGAGAAAATGAAGGCATATGATATTTTGGAAAACATGAAAATGGATAGAGGATTTCATTGTGTGGCTTGGAACAACAAGTTGTTATTAAACGTGCAAACATCTAGAACAGGACGATACTAACAATGTCAACAACATTACAAAACCTGGCTTGTAACACTAGTCACGGAAATGGGTAAACCTTCATACAGGGAATGATGTCTCAGCCCACCACTACAGCCACGTTGATTAGAACACGACACACACCACCAGACAAGAAGTCTCAGACTGATATTAGCGCCCATCGTTGTTTGGTCCTGATATCTATTTTAAAAGACCTTTTCCCCTCTTTTCTCTGTCTTTTCTCGGGATAACCGCCTGTAAGCCATTTTATTTTTCTGATCAGTCCCTAAATCTAATGGCACAAAAAGAGGCTAATGTTGACTTATTATGGAATTTGAGAAGCCATATCTATTACTTCTCAAGAAATAGTGATAACAAACTTCTATTTTAATGTCCAAGATGACCGCCTGTCAGCCATTTTGTTTTCCTAATCAGTCCCAAAATCAAAAGGATGCAACCAAGGACCCAGGGGGAACCTACATATGGAATTTGAGAAAGATGAATTCTCCATGTCTACGAAATAGCGATAACAAGAACTTGTTTATAAACGAACGGACGACGGAGGGGCGGAGGGGCGGAGGGGCGGACGAACCACGGACGTAAGACGATTTAAATAGTCAACCATTTGATGATGGGCTGAAAAGTGGCAACAGGAAAAGGCCTTAGTGTAAAATTTGACAGCAACTTAAAGTTTAGAAAGGACAGGGACATACAAGTAAAGAAAGCTAACAGGATGGTGAACCTGATCTTCAGCTCATTATGTAAATGTCTATGGAGGCTTCCTAGAACTATGGAAAATACCAAACACCGTGCCACCAAATTTTAATTGATTTTTGTTTGATATCGTTATTTTCCCCAAAATATTGTTTCCGGATCCGGTGGTTGTTTCCTTTTAATCATTTTTGTGCCACTGAAATTGTTGTAAGCATTTACAGATATACTGGTTTACATGGGAATATAAACATTTCAGGTAACACATACAAAGTAGTGTCTGATATCTGAAGAGATCAAGTGAAGTGGCACGTTTTAGTCAATAATATAATGTATTATTGTATTATTGTCTGAATGTCTTCTGCCGGCGAAAGGCATGTATACCGCGGCATGTTTTCTCTCCAACTCGGTGTCCCAGCGAGACTCAGAATAATATATAATTTAGGGTCAATTGTATAAACTCACTTAATTGATAAAACATACTATCGTTACCGTAAGATAAGGAAGGTCGGGGCTGGTTGTAACACATTAAAAGTTGTTAGAATGGAATCGGATTTGCATGAGATATTAACAACATGTAGGAAATATGTTCAAAAAAACTTAGTTTTACAACCGGCTCCATCAGATTGGTATCGGGACTGATTGTACATTAGGTAATCTGAGTATATGGATATTAGGGCATGTGAGTCCAATGCTATACTACTTTAATCTAACGTGTTACCTAGGCGAACTACCGTAATTGCTTTATTGTCTACTACTGTACAACTTTAATCTAACGTGTTACCTAGGCGAACTACCGTAATTGCTTTATTGTCTACTACTGTACAACTTTAATCTAACGTGTTACCTAGGCGAACTACCGTAATTGCTTTATTGTCTACTACTGTACAACTTTAATCTAACGTGTTACCTAGGCGAACTACCGTAATTGCTTTATTGTCTACTACTGTACAACTTTAATCTAACGTGTTACTTAGGCGAACTACCGTAATTGCTTTATTGTCTACTACTGTACAACTTTAATCTAACGTGTTACCTAGGCGAACTACCGTAATTGCTTTATTGTCTACTACTGTACAACTTTAATCTAACGTGTTACTTAGGCGAACTACCGTAATTGCTTCTTTATTGTCTACTACTGTACAACTTTAATCTAACGTGTTACCTAGGCGAACTACCGTAATTGCTTTATTGTCTACTACTGTACAACTTTAATCTAACGTGTTACCTAGGCGAACTACCGTAATTGCTTTATTGTCTACTACTGTACAACTTTAATCTAACGTGTTACCTAGGCGAACTACCGTAATTGCTTTATTGTCTACTACTGTACAACTTTAATCTAACGTGTTACCTAGGCGAACTACCGTAATTGCTTTATTGTCTACTACTGTACAACTTTAATCTAACGTGTTACCTAGGCGAACTACCGTAATTGCTTTATTGTCTACTACTGTACAACTTTAATCTAACGTGTTACCTAGGCGAACTACCGTAATTGCTTTATTGTCTACTACTGTACAACTTTAATCTAACGTGTTACCTAGGCGAACTACCGTAATTGCTTTATTGTCTACTACTGTACAACTTTAATCTAACGTGTTACTTAGGCGAACTACCGTAATTGCTTTATTGTCTACTACTGTACAACTTTAATCTAACGTGTTACCTAGGCGAACTACCGTAATTGCTTTATTGTCTACTACTGTACAACTTTAATCTAACGTGTTACTTAGGCGAACTACCGTAATTGCTTTATTGTCTACTACTGTACAACTTTAATCTAACGTGTTACCTAGGCGAACTACCGTAATTGCTTTATTGTCTACTACTGTACAACTTTAATCTAACGTGTTACTTAGGCGAACTACCGTAATTGCTTCTTTATTGTCCAATATTATGCTTCTTTAATATAATGTGTTACGTAGGCGAACTACCGTAATTGCTGGGCAAATTCTGACAAATAGAAAAAAAATTGGTAAGAAAATAGTGAAAAAAGCATCGGCATAAGAACCCTTGGTACCTGTCTTACTACCACCAGGACCAATGGTATTAGTCTTACCACCATCAGAACCATTGGTATTGGTCTTACTACCATCAGAACCATTGGTATTGGTCTTACTACCATCAGAACCATTGGTAGTGGTCTTACCACCATCAGAGACATTTGGCATTGGTCTTACTATCATCAGAACCATTGGTATTAGTCTTACCACCGTCAGAGACATTTGGCATTGGTCTTACTATCATCAGAACCATTGATATTGGTCTTACCACCATCAGAACCATTGGTATTGGTCTTACCACCATCAGAACCATTGATATTAGTCTTACCACCATCAGAACCATTGATATTGGTCTTACCACTATCAGAATCATTGATATTAGTCTTACCACCATCAGAACCATTGATATTGGTCTTACCACCATCAGAACCATTGGTATTGGTCTTACTACCATCAGAACCATCGGTTTTGGTCTTACCACCATCTGAACCTTTGGTATTAGTCTTACCACCATCAGAACCATTGGTATTAGTCTTACCACCATCTGAATTTTGGTATTGGTCTTACCACCTTCAGAACCATTGTAATTAGTCTTACCACCATCAGAACCATTGGTATTAGTCTTACCACCTTCAGAACCATTGATATAAGTCTTATCACCATCAGAACCATTGATATTAGTCTTACCACCATCAGAACCATTGATATTGGTCTTACCACCATCAGAACCATTGGTATTGGTCTTACTACCATCAGAACCATCGGTTTTGGTCTTACCACCATCTGAACCTTTGGTATTGGTCTTACCACCATCAGAACCATTGGTATTAGTCTTACCACCATCTGAATTTTGGTATTGGTCTTACCACCTTCAGAACCATTGTAATTAGTCTTGCCACCATCAGAACCATTGGTATTCGTCTTACCACCATCAGAGACATTTGGCATTGGTCTTACTATCATCAGAATCATTGTTATTAGTCTTACCACCGTCAGAGACATTTGGCATTGGTCTTACTATCATCAGAACCATTGGTATTAGTCTTACCACCATCAGAACCATTGGTATTGGTCTTACCACCATCAGAACCATTGGTACTGGTCTTACCACCATCAGAACCATTGGTACTGGTCTTACCACCATCAGAACCATTGGTATTAGTCTTACCAGCATCAGAACCATTGGTATTGGTCTTACCACCATCAGAACCATTGGTACTGGTCTTACCACCATCAGAACCATTGGTATTGGTCTTACCACCATCAGAACCATTGGTACTGGTCTTACCACCATCAGAACCATTGGTATTAGTCTTACCACCATCTGAATTTTGGTATTGGTCTTACCACCCTCAGAACCATTGTAATTAGTCTTACCACCATCAGAACCATTGGTATTAGTCTTACCACCATCAGAACCATTGATATTAGTCTTACCACCATCAGAACCATTGATATTGGTCTTACCACCATCAGAACCATTGGTATTGGTCTTACTACCATCAGAACCATCGGTTTTGGTCTTACCACCATCTGAACCTTTGGTATTGGTCTTACCACCATCAGAACCATTGGTATTAGTCTTACCACCATCTGAATTTTGGTATTGGTCTTACCACCTTCAGAACCATTGTAATTAGTCTTACCACCATCAGAACCATTGGTATTCGTCTTACCACCATCAGAACCATTGATATTAGTCTTACCACCGTCAGAGACATTTGGCATTGGTCTTACTATCATCAGAACCATTGATATTGGTCTTACCACCATCAGAACCATTGGTATTGGTCTTACCACCATCAGAACCATTGATATTAGTCTTACCACCATCAGAACCATTGATATTGGTCTTACTACCATCAGAACCATCGGTTTTGGTCTTACCACCATCTGAACCTTTGGTATTGGTCTTACCACCATCAGAACCATTGGTATTCGTCTTACCACCATCAGAGACATTTGGCATTGGTCTTACTATCATCAGAATCATTGGTATTAGTCTTACCACCGTCAGAGACATTTGGCATTGGTCTTACTATCATCAGAACCATTGATATTGGTCTTACCACCATCAGAACCATTGGTATTAGTCTTACCACCATCAGAACCATTGGTATTAGTCTTACCACCATCAGAACCATTGGTATTGGTCTTACCACCATCAGAACCATTGGTACTGGTCTTACCACCATCAGAACCATTGATATTGGTCTTACCACCATCAGAACCATTGGTATTGGTCTTACTACCATCAGAACCATCGGTTTTGGTCTTACCACCATCTGAACCTTTGGTATTGGTCTTACCACCATCAGAACCATTTGTATTAGTCTTACCATCATCTGAATTTTGGTATTGGTCTTACCACCTTCAGAACCATTGTAATTAGTCTTACCACCATCAGAACCATTGGTATTAGTCTTACCACCTTCAGAACCATTGATATAAGTCTTATCACCATCAGAACCATTGATATTAGTCTTACCACCATCAGAACCATTGATATTGGTCTTACCACCATCAGAACCATTGGTATTGGTCTTACTACCATCAGAACCATCGGTTTTGGTCTTACCACCATCTGAACCTTTGGTATTGGTCTTACCACCATCAGAACCATTGGTATTAGTCTTACCACCATCTGAATTTTGGTATTGGTCTTACCACCTTCAAAACCATTGTAATTAGTCTTACCACCATCAGAACCATTGGTATTCGTCTTACCACCATCAGAGACATTTGGCATTGGTCTTACTATCATCAGAATCATTGGTATTAGTCTTACCACCGTCAGAGACATTTGGCATTGGTCTTACTATCATCAGAATCATTGGTATTAGTCTTACCACCGTCAGAGACATTTGGCATTGGTCTTACTATCATCAGAACCATTGGTATTAGTCTTACCACCATCAGAACCATTGGTATTGGTCTTACCACCATCAGAACCATTGGTATTGGTCTTACCACCATCAGAACCATTGATATTAGTCTTACCACCATCAGAACCATTGATATTGGTCTTACCACCATCAGAACCATTGGTATTAGTCTTACCACCATCAGAACCATCGGTTTTGGTCTTACCACCATCTGAACCTTTGGTATTGGTCTTACCACCATCAGAACCATTGGTATTCGTCTTACCACCATCAGAGACATTTGGCATTGGTCTTACTATCATCAGAATCATTGGTATTAGTCTTACCACCGTCAGAGACATTTGGCATTGGTCTTACTATCATCAGAACCATTGATATTGGTCTTACCACCATCAGAACCATTGGTATTAGTCTTACCACCATCAGAACCATTGATATTAGTCTTACCACCATCAGAACCATTGGTACTGGTCTTACCACCATCAGAACCATTGATATTGGTCTTACCACCATCAGAACCATTGGTATTGGTCTTACTACCATCAGAACCATCGGTTTTGGTCTTACCACCATCTGAACCTTTGGTATTGGTCTTACCACCATCAGAACCATTGGTATTAGTCTTACCACCATCTGAATTTTGGTATTGGTCTTACCACCTTCAGAACCATTGTAATTAGTCTTACCACCATCAGAACCATTGGTATTCGTCTTACCACCATCAGAGACATTTGGCATTGGTCTTACTATCATCAGAATCATTGGTATTAGTCTTACCACCGTCAGAGACATTTGGCATTGGTCTTACTATCATCAGAACCATTGATATTGGTCTTACCACCATCAGAACCATTGGTATTAGTCTTACCACCATCAGAACCATTGATATTAGTCTTACCACCATCAGAACCATTGGTATTGGTCTTACCACCATCAGAACCATTGGTACTGGTCTTACCACCATCAGAACCATTGGTACTGGTCTTACCACCATCAGAACCATTGGTACTGGTCTTACCACCATCTGAACCATTGATATTAGTCTTACCACCATCAGAACCATTGGTATTGGTCTTACTACCATCAGAACCATTGATATTGGTCTTACTACCATCAGAACCATTGGTACTGGTCTTACCACCATCAGAACCATTGGTACTGGTCTTACCACCATCAGAACCATTGGTATTAGTCTTACCACCATCAGAACCATTGATATTAGTCTTACCACCATCAGAACCATTGGTATTGGTCTTACTACCATCAGAACCATTGGTATTGGTCTTACCACCATCAGAACCATTGGTATTAGTCTTACCACCATCAGAACCATTGGTATTAGTCTTACCACCATCAGAACCATTGGTATTGGTCTTACCACCATCAGAACCATTGATATTGGTCTTACCACCATTAGAACCATTGGTACTGGTCTTACCACCATCAGAACCATTGGTATTAGTCTTACCACCATCAGAACCATTGATATTAGTCTTACCAGCATCAGAACCATTGGTATTGGTCTTACCACCATCAGAACCATTGGTACTGGTCTTACCACCATCAGAACCATTGGTACTGGTCTTACCACCATCTGAACCATTGGTATTAGTCTTACCACAATCAGAACCATTGATATTAATCTTACCACCATCAGAACCATTGATATTAGTCTTACCACCATCAGAACCATTGATATTGGTCTTACCACCATCAGAACCATTGGTATTGGTCTTACCACCATCAGAACCATTGATATTGGTCTTACCACCATCAGAACCATTGGTATTGGTCTTACCACCATCGAAACCATTGATATTAGTCTTACCACCATCAGAACCATTGTAATTGGTCTTACCACCATTAGAACCATTGGTATTGGTCTTACTACCATCAGAACCATGAGTGGAAGTATTACCAGCAATTTGTCATATCAGCATTAGAACCGTTGGTATTGGGCCCGTCTCCTGTAGGGTAGTTTGGTATATATATACCTATTTCAAGGGCCTGATGTCAAAGCGTTACTTTGGCGATAGCGAGATGACTTAATTTCCCCGAATGGGTCCCATCCATCCGATCACATTGGGCCCAGTCCCTCAACTTATACCAATTCGAACTTCTTTCCCTAGGTTGCTTTTGACCTAATTTGGTAAAAATCAGCTTTGTGGGTCATTGTCAAACGGATGCTGCAGTATACCAAAGCTTTCTGGGGCTAACTAGAAAAACTATACGTTATCGTCACTTTTAAATATATTATTTCTTTGTTCGAAATTTGGTGATAGCATAAAAGTGTCATGATTCATGAGTACATAACGTACATTTGTATATGTACACTTATCAACAGCTTGGAATCAAACTGGTGACAATATATGAAATTAGAAATCTTCAGGGAAATATCTTACTTTACGAGAACATGACAAAACCCTTGAAGTCAGACAGACTCTGAAATAATTATACATGTTTTAAATGTTGAATTGTCACGAGGATTCAAGTTTTAGTAATTACTGGTGGATATCCGCGCAATGGTCTCGTTTACGTTACTGCCGTAGACACACCTATACTGTACATATGTATAATGTATAGAACTGATACGTATCATCGTATGCCAATACCAATGTTACAAAACCATTTTATATCTTGGAAACCGAATAGCCGAAATCATAAATAGTTAATACCTGTATATCTATATTCGTTGTTATCTATAAAAAAAATCTGTTCCATCAATGTAACAGCTGTTCTTACAACCACCACCTATCCAAATGTACGCTCGATGTGGATTTTGCACTACTTACCACGAACACTTATCCAGATGAACGCCCGATGTGGATTTTGCACTACTTACCACGAACACTTATCCAGATGAACGCCCGATGTGGATTTTCCACTACTTACCACGAACACTTATCCAGATGTACGCTCGATGTGGATTTTCCACTACTTACAACGACCACCTATCCAGATGTACGCTCGATGTGGATTTTGCAATACTTACCACGAACACCTATCCAGATGTACGCTCGATGTGGATTTTGCACTACTTACCACGAACACCTATCCAGATGTACGCTCGATGTGGATTTTGCAATACTTACAACGAACACCTGTCCAGATGAACGTTCGATGTGGATTTTGCACTACTTACGAGGACCACCTATCCAGATGTACGCTCGATGTGGATTTTGCAATACTTACAACGAACACCTGTCCAGATGAACGTTCGATGTGGATTTTGCACTACTTACGAAGACCACCTATCCAGATGTACGCTCGATGTGGATTTTGCAATACTTACAACGAACACCTGTCCAGATGTACGCTCGATGTGGATTTTCCACTACTTATAACGACCACCTATCCAGATGTACCCTCGATGTGGTTTTTTCACTACCTACAACGAACACCTGTCCAGATGTACGTTCGATGTGGATTTTGCACTACTTATAACGACCACCTATCCAGATGTACGCTCGATGTGGATTTTGCAATACTTACAACGAACACCTGTCCAGATGTACGCTCGATGTGGATTTTCCACTACTTATAACGACCACCTATCCAGATGTACCCTCGATGTGGTTTTTTCACTACCTACAACGAACACCTGTCCAGATGTACGCTCGATGTGGATTTTGCACTACTTACCACGAACACTTATCCAGATGAACGCCCGATGTGGATTTTGCACTACTTACCACGAACACTTATCCAGATGAACGCCCGATGTGGATTTTCCACTACTTACCACGAACACTTATCCAGATGTACGCTCGATGTGGATTTTCCACTACTTACAACGACCACCTATCCAGATGTACGCTCGATGTGGATTTTGCAATACTTACCACGAACACCTATCCAGATGTACGCTCGATGTGGATTTTGCACTACTTACCACGAACACCTATCCAGATGTACGCTCGATGTGGATTTTGCAATACTTACAACGAACACCTGTCCAGATGAACGTTCGATGTGGATTTTGCACTACTTACGAGGACCACCTATCCAGATGTACGCTCGATGTGGATTTTGCAATACTTACAACGAACACCTGTCCAGATGAACGTTCGATGTGGATTTTGCACTACTTACGAAGACCACCTATCCAGATGTACGCTCGATGTGGATTTTGCAATACTTACAACGAACACCTGTCCAGATGTACGCTCGATGTGGATTTTCCACTACTTATAACGACCACCTATCCAGATGTACCCTCGATGTGGATTTTGCACTACTTACCACGAACACCTATCCAGATGTACGCTCGATGTGGATTTTGCAATACTTACAACGAACACCTGTCCAGATGAACGTTCGATGTGGATTTTGCACTACTTACGAGGACCACCTATCCAGATGTACGCTCGATGTGGATTTTGCAATACTTACAACGAACACCTGTCCAGATGAACGTTCGATGTGGATTTTGCACTACTTACGAAGACCACCTATCCAGATGTACGCTCGATGTGGATTTTGCAATACTTACAACGAACACCTGTCCAGATGTACGCTCGATGTGGATTTTCCACTACTTATAACGACCACCTATCCAGATGTACCCTCGATGTGGTTTTTTCACTACCTACAACGAACACCTGTCCAGATGTACGCTCGATGTGGATTTTGCACTATTTATGAAAACCACTTATCCAGATGTACGCTCGATGTGGATTTTGCACTATTTATGAAAACCACTTATCCAGATGTACGCTCTATGTGGATTTTGCACTACTTACAACGAACACCTGTCCAGATGTACGCTCGATATGGATTTTGCACTACTTACGAAGACCACCTATCCAGATGTACGCTCGATGTGGATTTTGCACTACTTACCACGAACACCTATCCAGATGTACGCTCGATGTGGATTTTGCACTACTTACCACGAACACCTATCCAGATGTACGCTCGATGTGGATTTTGCACTACTTACCACGAACACCTATCCAGATGTACGCTCAATGTGGATTTTGCACTACTTACCACGAACACCTATCCAGATGTACGCTCAATGTGGATTTTGCACTACTTACCACGAACACCTATCCAGATGTACGCTCAATGTGGATTTTCCACTACTTACTCATGGTCAGATTATTTAATTTAGTCAAAATGTATAAATATAAACTATGTCCATTGCAAATAGTACAATTCGTCCTCAATTAAGAGAAGACCTACGCAATAAAGACACACCAGTACTGTTTACAAGGACGTTGATGGAGTGATATAAACCCGCTATGTTCCTGCTGACACCGTCAGCCATGGACTAAGCATAATG